ACAACAATGACAACTACAACCAAAAAAAGAAAAAAAATATCTGGGCATTGTGGCAGGCACCTGTAGTCCCAGCTACTTGGGAGGCTGAGGCCAGAGAATTGCTTAAGCCCAAGAGTTTGAAGTTGCTGTGAGCTATGATGCCACAGCACTCTACCAAGGGTGACAAAGTGAAACTCTGTCTCAAAAAAAAAAAAAAGAAAGAAAGAAAAAGAAATGAAAGGGGGACCCTGTAGCTTAAAGAAGGTTAAAAAAGAAATCAAAACAGAACCTATACCTTAAAAGACTATAAAGAGATAGATATATAAATTCAAAGTGTCAACTTTTTGACTTTAATTAAAGGATAAACCTCATTTGGATCCTTAGTAAAATAAATGGTATAAAGACATTTAGGAGATAATGGAGGAAATTTAAATGCTGACTGGCTATCTGATGATTTTTAATGAGTTATTGTCATTTTTTTAGATGTAATAGTGATATTGTAGGAATTTTTATTTTTTTATTTTTTGAGACAGAGCCTCAAGCTGTCCCCCCGTGTAGAGTGCTGTGACATTACAGCTTACAGCAACCTCCAACTCCTGGGTTCAAGCGAGTCTCCTGCCTCCGCCTCCCAAGTAGCTGGGACCACAGGCGCCCGCCACAATGCCTGGCTATTTTTTGGTTGCAGCCGTCATTGTTGTTTGGTGGGTCCGGGCTGGGGATTCGAACCCACCACCTTAGGTGTACGTGGCTGGCGCCTTAGCCGGTTGAGCTATAGGTGCCGAGCCTGTAGGAATATTTTTTAAAAGGCTGTTTTTTATAATACACATTGACATACTTGTGGAAGAAACAACATAATAGCTTCACTTAGCTTCAGAATAATCTAGGAGATAGGGAGAAGGGAGGTATATGTGAAACAAGTTAACCCATAACTTAGTTAGAGCTGGGTGATGGGCACGTGACCCTTATTATACTTTTCCCTCTCCTTTCATAAATTTAAACATTTCTACAATAAAAATAATTAGCAGGCCAGGCATGGTAGCTCATGCCTATAAATTATAACACTCTGGAAGGTGGAGGCAGGTAGATTGCTTGATTTGAGCTTAGGAGTTCGAGACTACCCTGAGCAAGAGTGAGACCTTGTGTCTACTAAAAATAGAAAAACTAGCTAGGCATTGTGGCAGGTGCCTGTACTCCCAGCTGCTTGGGAGGTTGAGGCAAGAGGATCAGTTAAGCCCAAGAGTTTGAGGTTGCTGTGAGCTATGATGCCATAGTACTCTACCCAGGGCAACAGAGTGAGGCTCTTTCTCAAAAAAAAAGAAAAGAAAAAAAGAAAGAAAGAAAAAGTTAGCAATTAAAAATTCAACCATTTTTTCAACTTGTTTGGTAATGAAGAAAGCCTAGTATGAATATCAGTTCTTAGGCATTATCACTGGGTTATTTTCAAATACAATTTCTAAGTAGTACTTTAAAATTCAAAAGTTATGTTATGTTATGTTATTATTTATTTAGAGACAGAGTCTCTTCTGTGGACCTGAGTTGAGTGCTATGCCATCATCATAGCTCACAGAAACCGCAACCTCCTGGGCTCAAGTGATCTTCCAGGCTCAAGTGATCTTCCTGCCTCAGCCGCCCGAGTAGCTGGGATGACAGGTGCCTGCCACAATCCCCAGCTAATTTTTTCTATTTTTAGCAGAGACAGAGTCTTGCTCTTGCTCAGGCTGGTCTGGAACTCCTGAGCTCAGGTGACCCACTGGCCTCAGCTTCCCAGAGTACTAGGGTTATAAGCACAAGCCACAGCACCTGGCCCAAACATTATTTTAAAATACCATTTTGTGTGGCCCAAGTGATTGCTGGCAAGTTTTGAGTAACTTGATCAATTCTAACACATATTGGAAATATCTAAAGTTTTTTTCTATAAAAGAAGAGGAGGAAAAAATCCTTATAAGCAGTCACAGTTGCTTGCCCAGGTATATCACCTCATGCTGCTGAACGTGGGTAAGCCAATGATATGAAATAACAGTAGGATTCTGACAATTTTTTTTACTACACCATTAATGTTCTATATCAATGCATTAAAAGGAAAAGCAATTCATGTTTTATTTAAATTAATTCTTTATGTGTTCTTCATTCCCAGTTGAAAAAAATAATGCCAACCAAAGCCTAATGTCTGTTTAAAAATTAACAGTGTACAGCCAGGTGCAGTGGTTCAGACTTGTAATCCTATAGCACTCCAGGAGGCTAGGGTGGGTGAACTGCTTGAACTCAGGAGTTTGAGACCAGCCAGAGCAAGAGCAAGACCCTGTTTCTATTAAATTAAAAACCAAACTTTTTTAGGGCAGCACCTGTGGCTCAGTGGGTGGGGCACCAGCCCCATAAAGGGAGGGTGGCAGGTTAGAGCCCGGCTGGGCCAAACTGCAACAAAAAATAGCCAGGCGCTGAGGAGGGTGCCTGTAGTCCCAGCTACTCAGGAGGCTGAGGCTGGAGAATCACTTAAGCCCAGGAGTTGGAGGTTGCTGTGAGCTGTGTGACGCCACAGCACTCTACTGAGGGCGATAAAGTGAGACTCTGTCTCTAAAAAAAAAAAAAAAAACTTTTTAAAATTAACAATGTAATTTTAAGCATCACTGAGGAAACACTAATTCAGAACGAGAGTTTAAAAGATTGGTTCCATCACCATGGGTTATGAAAACACTCCTCCAGTCCTAAATTATGACCAAGCATTTCTAAAGTAATTAAAACATGTATTTGTGATGGGGAGAGGAAACAGTTTCTCTTGTGTAGGTTTCCAGTCTTGAGAACAATACCTTCCTTTTTGGCATTAGGGCTGTAGTAGGCAGGTGTAACTCCGGGAGGCTGTTACTTCTTAATTACACAGGAAGCTCCATGCCCAGGGGATTCTGCCCTCCCCTGTCCTCGTTCCTTTCCAATATAAGTAAACAGCTGGGGATTTAATCAAAGCTTCAAAGGTTGGTGATAACAAGTGATGACAGACTGATGCCCTGCAGCCCAGGTGAATAACAGCATAGTATCTAAGACTGACTTCATATCAAACCTGCAGCAAGTATGGCTTCAGAATTGGGGGATACTATTTTCAGTTCTCAGGAAAGGAGAAAAACACATTTTCTGGGGTTCGGATTCACACTAGACAGCAGGGTGGAATGCTTCACCATTTTCAACTTCAAAGGGTCTCCATGAGTAGTCATAGCAAAAGAGAAATTATGGAAAGAAATAAAACACATCCGGAAACTGAGGAAACACACAAGGTAGCAGAATTACTGAACAAAAGCAGAAGGCCTCTAGAGAGCCTACGGTTCCATCTCCTTACCTTATGGTAAAGCAGGCCCAGAATGAAGTGACTTGTCCCCAGTCCCAGTAAAATAGGAACAGTGTAAGGCTTGGAATTCACTGCTGATTCCCAGAGAGAGGCTCTTTACACCAGTCTGATAAATACGGTATGTGGCATTCAAGGTCCAAAGCAACAGCTTACCCAGGGTAAGGGCTGGGTAAAGTCATCATCACAGCTCAGCAGCTCACAGAAGAACTTCAGCGAGGCCACTGGCATTAACCCATCTTGGTTCTGCTGACCTCAAGCTTAGGGGCTCATGAGAGCATCCTAGGTGGATGAATTATCACACAGGTCTCTCTGGTCTGTTCTAAAGCTTTGAGGATGTGCCTGAGTTCAAAAATTTGAAAACAACCAGCAATACAAATACGTAGATGAAGCCTAAATAGCCTAGATGAACCCTCTCTAGGCTATTAAGAAAATTCTCCTCAGCTACTTGGGAGGCCAAGGCAAGAGAATCGCTTAAGCCCAGGGGAAGAAAAAAAAAGAAAAGAAAGAAATATTCCTAAGGGGAAGGTGAGAAGGAAAACTATCTGGACTTGCCCATTTGCCCCATGGTTGCCCACTGAGGCTACCCTCAATGTCCATCAAACTATGGCCTCAAACCCAAGAGCGTCTGCAGCATGAACTACCTGGATTCTGGCCTGATCAGAACACTGTGGAGGGGGCATACTTGAGAGAAGCATGAAGTCCTGAAAGGAGCTGGACTTCAGAGCCAGCTAGATAGGTACATGCAGCAAAGACATCACAGTTTGTCCGGGTACCCTCTTTCATTCCCCAAGAGCCTGGCCCCTGTAACAATCATGCCTAGTGAGGGAGGCAACAAGCAAAGCCAAAGAGGGGAAATGACAGCTGGGTGGAGCCCCACCAATCCCTTTGAGGACAAGACAGCTACCTACCCCGGTAGGAGCTGGCCAGGGAAGCCAGGCTATTCTCCAGCTTGGAAGAGTCGGTGGTAGGAATTTACAGCTTCATCCACCAGCCTGTCTTCAGGCAGATAACCTCACTTCCAGGACCTCAAGGAACAGAAGCCACAATTCTTGATGTCACTTCTAAAGCCACCTGTCTGCCCTGCCTCCTTACCCCTTCCCCAGCTACAAGAACTTTTCTTCCTCCCAGTGCGACTTCGGACCAGATCTTGAGGCTGGGAGGCCCGCCCCAGCCCGCCCGCTCGAGCCCGGCCTGGCTCACGGGTGCGGCCGAGTCGTGCTGGGACAGCTCCGGGCTGCCTCCGGGGCAGTCGCGGGCCGCTACAAGCGCAGATTCGGCTGACAAAGGGAAGAGGCTGATCCGCCAGCCTTTGAGTGGGAAGCAATCAGAATTGGGGTCTATGTGACGGGGAACGAATGAATGAATACAGGAATGAATAGACAGCGATGGCAGTGGTGGGGAACCACTGAAGGTGTCCTCAGTAGGGTGCCCTCCACTGCCCTGATGCCGCCAGGACAGTCTCCCGCCCCTCAGACTCGGGGCGCAGACTCAGCGCAGTCACCCTGTCCCTGCCCCAACACCTCGCAGCCCCCCGGAGGCGCCCGGGCGGTGCAGAGCGGCTGTGAATTCAAACCCGCATCCCGACCACCGGGAAGTGCCTGTCCCGTGGGCAGAATAAGCCGAGGCCCCGGAATCGCCCTGCCCCGCGCGGCAGCGGCCCCTCGCAGCAGCCTCTGGAGCCCCTTACCTGCCCGCCTCGGTGGCCTCGCTCCGGGTGAGAGCCGTCATCGCAGCCCCTCCACCTAGCGCCTCGGACAGCTCGGCCCAACAGGGCACCGCCGGACCCCGCCCGCCCGCCAGCGAGCGCCCGCCTCCGTCCGCCCATTGGCTGCTCGCGCGGGACGAGTCCAGCCCATTGGCCATTCCCCGCCAGAGCTCCAGGTGGGGCGCAAGCCCCGCACAGATCGCAGAGCTCCATCCCCTACATAAGAAGGTCCCGGGCTCGGCGCCTGTGGCTCAAGCGGCTAAGGCGCCAGCCACATACACCTAAGGTGG